TGAAATAGACATAAAGGACAATAGGAGTCGGTACACACTGACACGTGTGGTCTTATGAACATCCAAGCAAGATTACTCACGTTTTGGATAAGTTTATCTGATGCAACACAAGTCTTAAACTCTTGGTATTTTCTGAGAAGGCTAAGACTGATGTGGAACACATATTAGGTAAACTTATCAAGACACTTCGATCTGATCGAGGATATGAGTATTTCTTGGGATAGTGCAAAGACTATATGGTCAATGAGGGTATTATGTACCAGTTTTCCACAATTGACGCTAAATGTATTTAGGTGTCAAATAGGAATAACAGAATTCCACTTAACATGGTTAGATCTATGATTAGCTATGCTACATTATCTCTTTCATTTAAGAGTTTAGCGTTAATGACATCGATGCGCATTATGAACTGCATTCCATCTTAGTCTGCCTCAAGGATACCATTGAGCTGTGTTTTTTTACTAAATATTAGTTTAAATCATATGCACATATGGGGTAGTCTTGCACATGTGCGCTTGATATGGACAAGTAAGTTGGAAGCAGATCATAGGCATGCTAGATTTGATAGCTACTCTAAATGTCACTAGGATGGATTATTTTTTGATCTCAAAGATAAAAGTTGATTGTTTTCACTCACTGTTTATCTATAGGAGAATCATATTATGAATCACATACCTAGTAGCATAATGTTAGAGAATTTGGTATGAGTACCAGATGTACCACATGTGAACACACTTATTATAGAGATTGAGAATAATATATGAATTCCCTATTGATGCGTTAGCATCATCTACTACACAGATTCTTGCATCACTACATTGATGTAGTGGGAGGATTATCATCCAATTCGACAGAATCATGTTTTTAGATGAGACCATTATGGACATCCCTGTTAAACATGAGTTGGACCCAGTAAGCTACACGGAAGCGTGAACCGATATGGATACAGATCGTTTTGGCGAGTTATTATAAAATCAGAGTTGGAATCTATGTATTCTAATAAATTCTGGGATCTTGTAGAACTTTCTAGTAGGGTGATTCCTATGGAAGGCAAGTTAATCTACAAAAAGATACCAGAAGATTTCTTAGTGAATAAATTATGAGTGTACAAGGGAATGTCATTATTTTTCTGATTCTATATATATTGATGACATCCTACTCATATAGAATGATGTGGAAGGTTTGTCATCAATAAAGAGGTAGTTGTTCAATTACTTTTAAATGAAGGATTTTTCAAGATGTAAGCTATATTCCTAGGATCAAGCTTTTACAAGATCGGGATAAAAGGAAAATAGGCTTATCTTAATAATCCTACATTGATAAAGTTTTGACCAGGTTTGGTATGCATAACTCAAAGAATGAGTTCTTGCTTTATTGATATGGATTGCTCTCTCTAGTAAGTAGTTTTTCAAGACTAGCAGAGGAGATTGAGCAAATGAGACTGGAACTATATGCTTTGGCATATGGGAGTCTCATATTTGCCATGGTCTATACCAAACAGGACATCCGCTACATAGTAGGGATAATCAGTAGAGATTAGTCTAATCTTGGACTTGATAACTGGTCTGTTGTGAAAAATATCATTAAGTACCTAAGGAGAACCAATGATATCATACTCATTTATGGATGTGATGATATGGTCCTAGTCAGGTATGCTAGTTCTGATTTTCAATCAGAAGTAAATACTATGAGGTTCATGACTTAGTGTATGTTCATTTAATGGAAGGGAAATCAGTTGGTAGATTGTTAAGCAGATTTCAACTGCTGACTCAAATCTGCAGGTGGAATACATTGCAGCCTTAAAGGCGGCAATATAAGCCTATTGGTTTGATCTCACTGATTTAGAGGTTGTGGAGCATACTAGCCTGCCTATCAAGTTATATTGCGACAATAGTGCAGAAGTAGTCCAAACCAATAACCCAAGGTTCCATAAATGAACAAAATACACTGATAGGAAGTATCATGTTCTACATGATATTGTCCGGCAGGAAAATGTACTTGTGGCTAGAACATTGCATTGGAACACAACTTTGTTGATCCATTAACAAAGGTGTCATCGATCAATAGTTTTGATCAACACCTGGATAACATTGGAGTTAGATGCAATTTGAATTGGCTATGAGGGCAAATGGGAGCTGTTGGGATTTATATGCCCTGGCATAGCAAATTCCTATCTGGATTATAGTGACATATGTTCCTGACATATCTGAAATATTTATGATTTATATAATTGGTGAATTCAATGTATTATGTTTCGATTCACTATGAAATTGATAGTGTCCCTGTGATTACAAGAAATATTTATATATATGTATGTGATGGCAATCAATGCATGATATATACATAGTAATTATAAATTGTTCATAGTCGGTAATTATGGATAGACTCATAATTAATTAAGACTTGAACTGGATCCGCGTTAGGTTGAGATATATTGCGAGAGCCGTCGTATGCAATTGCTCCCTAGCACCGTCATAGCATTTGACTCTTAAGCATGAGAAAATTATAGACTCTTTTATTAATTAATAATTACTTTGATTTGTTCGGCGGATTCTTCGGGATCCTTAGACCGACACTTTGGGTAGTTATGTAATTAATAGTTAGAGGGTTATATTTTCAATATTTGCATCATTGCTACTTGTATTTATTTTGTATTGATTATGGTTGATCACAAAGTAAATTCGAAGGCCTTCGTGTGTTTTTAGACAAAATGATTTATTATATATTTATTTAGTTAAATTATTATTTTTGTCAAACAAATATTTTATTGTGATCGAGCCAGAAATAATCAGAGGTACCAAAATAGATATATTAATTAAGTAGTCGGATTGATGGCTTTATTTATCCGATAACTAATTATGCATAGAGGGGTCAAAGTGCAATATTGACTTAGAGGTTATTTATTATTGAATTGGAGTTCAATTAATTTCTTTTAGTGGAGTAGAAATTAATTTATGAATTAATTGAATTGGGTCCATGGACCGGGCCAATTATTAATTCATTGTAGCCAATAAAATAATAGGCCCAATGGATTCTCACTCATAGCCCAACTTGATATTGGAATCATATTAGATTTGAGACATATGAATTAGAGATGGAGAAGGATTTATTGTTTCCTTTTCTTTATTTTTATGCTGCCTATAAATATACATGGTCTATGTATATTTTAGGTGTGTGATTTTTATGAGAAGGAAAAAGGAATAAATTTTCTCTCTCTAGAAAATTAGGGTTAGTGTTCTCATCTAATGGAGGCTCCCACAAGCCTAGTTTTCCAAGGTCATTCATGGAGGCTTATGAGTGATTCCTAAAGGTAAGACCATTACCAAGAAGATGGAGATGGAGATCTATGGAAAAGGTGTCTAGCAAAAGGGATCTACAATAAGTGAGAACATTCACTTTAGAGGAGAGATCTAAGGTTTACTCAAACCTTGATGTAAGTATTCAATCTTTTAATTGAATGATACATCATGTTTTATTTTTGCATAAAACTTGTCTCTATGTAATGAATCAAGATCTATGAATTAAAATCCCTCGAAAAGTTTTTAAAACTAGCAGGTTTCCCAACAGATCTGACAAGGGAGCAGCTGTCAATTACACTCTGGTGTCAGTACACTTATAGAACTAGGTTGCATTCACAAGAGCTCTATCCAGCTTAATATTAATCATTCTATTATCTTATTTGTTGCTCCAAGTCCATCCCCCATTATTGATAGGTAATTCCTCCATTTGAATATCTTTAAGCACTTGATTAAACTCATCAAGAAGATGTTGAGGCACCCTTAGACCTCCAATTTTATCACCATGAAATCGAGAAATGTTCTAGTCTCTGAAAGTAGTCCAAGGTCAATCCACCATCCTAGCTTAATCTTTAAGATTCATCCACAGCTTTCTTCTTTCTTGCACAGTAGTGGCAGCATATATCACAGACATAAATACAGTCTCTCCAGAAACAATATGCTTAACCTTCAAAAATAATACTTGAGTGTCTTCCTTCATGAGTTGAACATCAAAGACCAAAGGATCCCAAGCAATCCAAATCTTACCTAACTCATTAGAACCATAATTATCCAGCCACACCTATCTAGAACTAATTCTGCGCTGAATTTTTCTAAATTTCCCTTATCTAACTCTAGTCTCCACCAGAGCCACTAGAGAAAATTTATTCTCCCCCATCTAGGCCTTTACAACAGCCTGCATATTAGGTCTATTGAGACCTCTAACATTTTAGGCACCAAGCATTAAGAAATAGGTTTAGATGGTAAAGCACCACCAACCTATTTACCTTTAGTAATCCTATCAGATGGTGGAGCTTGATACCTCTTCTTAGGTTTCAATTTCTATGCTTCAGTTTGCTCTAGTGATGTAGCAACATTATCTGAACCAGAGGCTAAAAGACCTCCTTTATCATTACCTTCATTATCTAACTTAACTTCATCCGGCTGAATAACCAAAGCCTTTCCTACAGGCCTGGGAACATTTACACTTCCTACCCTTGTATTTGCATTGACTTCAGCCTTGAAACCACCTTTGCCAACCTTAGTATCAACAGAATCAATAGTCACAATACTTGTCACCTGAGCACTCCTGCAAATATCCAATTCTTGAGATTTTGTCACTGTAGAAATAGGAGTAGCAACCAACCTATTTGTTGCAGTATTATTACCAGAAATTTCTATCTGTAAATTATTGTCAATCTCTTCTATTTCCTTAACCTCCTTCTGTTTAGACTGTACTGCAACTTCCTCAACCTCATCTTGAATATCTGTAGTCTGTAATACTTGAAAAGCATTCGAAGTCACAATGTCTTCAACAGGCACGGTCTCAATATCCAATTGAGAACATTCAATAAGCACCTTATCTGCATCTTGAGGCACCAGTTTTCCTTTATTTTTCACCATCCATTTTCCCACAGTCTTTTTAGGCTTATTTTATAAGATATTTTGAGGGCATCTGTCCTTAATATGATCAACTCTTTGGCAAAGAGAACATAACTGAGGCTTCTACTCATACTCCAACGTAATCTCACAGTCAATACCATGAATATCCACCACCATTGAGTTAGGTAACTCTTCCTTAACATCCACCTCCACCATCACTCGCAAATATCTTCCTTTGTCTTGATTAAGTTCTAAATCATCCATGTCTATTAGCTTGGCAAAGAAAGAACATACCATAGACACCACATGTGCCTTTCTACAATGAATAGGAAGATCATAAATACGAATCCAAATAGGAACCAATTCCAAGACCTCTTTCTCCAAGTTAACATTTTTACTCCAACGCTTAAGGATTATAGGTTTTCCTTCGAATGTATGGATTCTAGACAACACCTTATTAACATCAGTCTTATCATGAAAATGAACCAAGAAGAATCCATCCTTCAAATACATCAATTTAAAATTCTTGGACCACCTCTTCTCCACATATGATTTAAAATAATGATAGTAAGGTTTCTTACCCATCACATAACCTACTACAGAAGAGGACCAATATTGGATCTCATCAACCACATCTTTTCTTGTAATCGAGACTTTCTTTCCACGGACATGACTATGGAACTTAAGATTCTGAAACTCAGGTGCTGCTTCCTTAAAGAAACGACACCAAGAAGTGGTGGGAGAAGATGACCGGCTTGCAGATCCCGCCGGTAGGTTAGTGGAGGAGGACTGACCCTCCTCCATCACAAGATTCTCTGTCCCAGCCACTGAAACTGCATGTATGAGCCTTAACCCTAAATCGCCTGCTGTTGAGAGAAAATGGTAGAATTGTAATCTCAATTTTAAAGGCTGTTTACGCAATTTGTTGTTCCTCACATATCAGATATTAAACTGATAAGAACAAATACTACACTTGATCTTAGCCAAAAGGCCGAGAAAGGTATATTGCAATTTAATTAATTGAATTTTCATGTAATCAAACAATCAATATTCCTTTGCAATCATTTAATACATTAGAGTCGAAGTTAAATTCCAACACGTATAATCTCTTGGGACGATCCCTTTTCAGTTATACTATATAATACAGGTGCTAAGTAGTTTATAAATTTAAAGTATGATGCCCACTTGACTCTAATTTCCAAACTCAAAGTGTTGTGCATTATTTTGTGCACAAGGTCAGGTCGCATCATAATTTTGGCGCCATTACCGGGGATTAACGATTTTGTTAGAATTAGACTAGACAATAGTGTTAATTTTTTCTTGAATACAATAGTGTTAATTTGATTGATTCTATTTTTATTTTATTTTTATTATATATTCTTTTCTTATTCTTGATATTATTTGTCAATTAGGTACTTGACTACAAAGAAGGCAAACATTGGAGCTTAAAGTTAACATTAGAATTTAAAGTTGCTTAGGGACCTTGGTGAGCATTTTTTAAAAATCTTGTAGCTTAATTGTGCACTTCTTTGTATGCTTGAGATAGCCCTTGTTGAGGCTAATTAACTTGTTTTATTAAAGTCCAAGCATCGGCCCGTGTGGAAGCCTTGTTTTTATTGCAATATCATCGGCCCGTGTGGAGACCAATATTTTCTTGCTTTGGGATTTTGAATGTGGATGGAGCCATTGTTTGATCCAAGTTTGGAGGAAAATTACATCCCTTCACCTTATGCCCCTCCACCAGATTTCAATCCATATGAAATTGAGTTCAATGTTCAACATGCATTATTTTATTATGAACTTGATAACTCTTTTAATCCTCCTTATGACTATTACCCTCCCCCACCATTTTATGAAGAACCACCTTCATTACCTTATTCACCCGAATTTCAAGAAAAAGTGTTAACTTTACATGATATGCATATTTCACAAACTCAACTTATTAATTCTCATTCTAATATCTTAAGCCAAGCTTGAAGCTCAAGTTGAGCAAATTGCAAGTACTCTTTCTTGTCAAGAGGAGGAGAAAGAGGCAAACGAACAAATGGCAAGCACTTTAATTTATATAGATGAGGATGAGGAGGATGAAACAAGTGAGTTAATGCCTAGCACTCTATCTTGTATAGAGGAGGAAGTGGAAAGTGTGTTAGCAGCTAATCCAATAGAGCATAACATGATTAATGATGACTTTCCTTATTTTGATCATGATTTTATCCCGACCTTTGATACTTTAGAGAGTGAGGAGATGTTGACCACTTTAGAGGTAGGAGAGGAGGAGGAATAACTTGTTGAAAAGCGCATTCCTTCTATTATCTCCAAAGACCCTCTTGAGACATGCCTTTTTGAAATGTATAAAAAATTGTGGTTTTAACCTTGAAAGCTCCAAAAATGTAATGAACTCTCTAATAGACTCCTTAACTAACTTGGAAGGTAAGGAGATGGTGATTTTTGACGAAAAGAAAAAGGATGAAGAGAGGCTGTTTCTTAATACTCCAAATGAGTCTTTAAAAGACATTGCCTTGCCAATTCACAAAGAAAGTGATTCTTTGAATACACTTCAAGAGCACAAAAATGAGGCAAAGCTAACAATTATTGATTTTGTTTTCAAGATCGTGGATGAAAGGAACGAAATCATCTCTTTCATTTCTTTTCAAGTAAATCTTTTGGAGGATGATTTCATTGTTGTAAGTGAGGCATTAAATGAGAAAATTGAAAAGAGAATCAATAAGAATGTTTCATATCCGGTCTTTGATTCTTTTGATTAGTGAGTTGAACCAACATCTTGCTATAGACATTAAATACTAGTATTCGTAAAGTTTCACAACTCTATTCCTCCCCTATTTCTTTTTATTTTTCACTTTTTACGTCGTATAGATAGTTTCATTGATGATCCATTGCACTTCATGACAAATTTCTTGTTCAAAAAATTCTACCTTAAAAAATTTTCCAAAAAATTTCAGCATTTGGGTTGTGCCTAGGCCCTTTTGATCGATCGAAGTCTACAGGCCCCCATTTTTGCCTTGAAAAGAGCTCTCGGGATTTCAAATTTTTGATCGATCGTGGACATTCACAATTGATCGAAGCAAAAATAATAATAATAATAATAATAAAATAAATTTTTTGATTTCTTTTGCTTTTTTACTTCTTGCATTTTTATTTACTTGCCTTTTATTTTTATTTGTATACATACTTGTTATGTCTTAAAAATAATAATAATAATAATAATTTTTCAAATTAGCATTCTGTCTTGCTAGAGACATTAAACTTAGCACCAATTTTACATATTTCTTACATTTTTCATTTTCTTTACATGCTTTCATAAAAAGAAAAAATCAAAAATATTTCAACATTGTGCCCTTAAGTGTAGTCATGCTACTTTCATGTTTTATCTAGAGCTTGATCTCATATCTCTCTTTCATCTTATGTTATATTGCCTTAGATTGCATACATTGGTTATTCTTACCCTATTTGATATTTGATATGAGTTTGCTTGTGTGGTTATTCAAGCAGGTTGTTGATTCCAAGTTTGGGGGAGACATCTTTCGAATTAGATCATTGTCGGGCTTCATGTCTTTGCCACCACGGTATATTCTTTCCATCTTTTGCATTGTTATCATTGTTCATTGAGGGCAATGTGCGGTTTAAGTTTGGAGTTAAGGTGACTTTGATGCATTCTACTTAAAGTTTTGAGCCGTAATTGCATGATTGAGACTTGGGATCCATTTTAGCACTGATTTTGATCTTTTGAGGCATATGTTACTTAGAATTTAAAAATTACTTGACTTGAGAGTTTAATACTCCTTGTATGCCTTGTGGATGCTATTTAGGAGTAATTTTTTTGAAAAATTAATATCATGCTTGTTTTTGTGGTCCACATCATCTTAATTTTGTGATTGTTTTGAGATTCATTCTAGGATTCTACACTAACACAGGCGCACACTAGCATTCATTTGTGGGGTACATGCTTTGTTGATTATTACTTTGGTTATATCCCAATTGAGCTATTAGTATTTTGAAAGCTTTCATTCTTGACAAAGGTGGATAACAAACTCTTTTTACTAAGTAGCCGGGTTTTTAGCCTTATTAAGCATTAAATTTCTCGCGCCAAAAGGTGGAAGGCCCAAACTCTAGGTTACCAAAAAAAAAAAAATTGCAAAAACAAATAAAGTGAGGACTTTTCACCAAAGGTGAGAAGTGAGAAATGATTAGATGAAGGTTGTTTTGATCTGTAACCTAGTTGATTTGAATTTGTAAGTTCTTAGGAGTGTCTTTACATCTAATGCCCTAAAGTCGTCCGGTTTGGGAATTGATCTCTACACTAGATTCTCTATGTTGGTTGCATGTCCATGTGCGATTAATTAAGGATCTAGTGATGGCTAAGCAAGGTTTTCATTGAATGGGTTTGTCAATTAATTTGATGGATTATACTTATGATTGATGAGTTGTTCTACAATTTAACTCATGTTTGTTGGTAGGTAGATAATCTATGCTTGATTTGATATTCCACAGCTTATTATTGCAAATTCCATAATTCTCTAGATTGATGTGTGTTACAATTGTTACTAATTTGATGGGTCATGCTTAAAATTGATGGGTTGTGCAACACTTAGTTTATTTGTTGGTTAGGTAAACAATTCATTCTAAAATTTGATAGTTCATGCTTAATATAGCAATTGGTAGTCGCATTTTGTTCACAAGAATGTTTTCCCCAAATTAGTTGAAAGTGTGTGATTTGGTGAACAAATTTGGCGGCGATTCCTATGTCCCAAGACCTCACTTCTCATCTCTTAAATCCCTAACTTAACTTAGTTTATTTTAATTGTATTTTAATTAATTGAATTTTCCTGTAATAAAACAATTAACTCTCATTTGCAATCATTTGATACATTAGAGTCGAAGTTAAATTCCAACACGTATTAGCTCTTAGGATGATCCCTTCTCACTCATACTACATAGTATAGGTGTTAAGCGGTTTATAAATTTAAAGTATGATGCCCACTTGACACTAATTTCCAAACTCAAATTGTTGTGCATTATTTTGTGCACACGCTTAGGGTCGCATCAGACAGAAAGAGTACTATAGGTTGTTATATCCTTAGCTTTAATATAGTCTCTTGGGTGAGCAAAAAGTAAGATACAGTGTCCCTTTCAACCCTTGAACTTGAGTTCATTGCTGCCTCTCAAGCTAGTTCTCAACTACTTTAGATGAGGATAACACTTACATACCTTGGTCTTTAATTCTCAGGTCCTCCCAAGCTGTATTGTGACAACCAAAGTGACATTGTTATCAGTAAAAATCTAACTCTCCATTGGAAAAGCAAGCACATTGACATCAGGTATCATTTTCTCAGAGAAAAAATTCAAAAAGGTTTCATTGATATCACTTATTTGCCCACTGAAGATCTACTTATAGATATTATGACCAAACCTCTTCTTCCTCAGAGATTTACAGCCCTTAGAGACCTTCTTAGGGTTGTTTCACCACCCTCTTGATCTTATAATTGTTGGTCTTTATCACCTTTTGACCTTCAATGTCAAAAAAGGATAGAAAATAACTGAAATAATGATAGTTTTTATCCTTTAATAAGGTTTTGGTGCTTACATTTATCTCTTTGTGACTATGGTATTCATATACTTGTGTTGTTAGATCTTCACTTTTTAGTTTTTATTTCATTGTGAGGTTTTTGTTATTAAAAGCAAAAAGGGGAGATTGTTGGTCCTAGTAAGTACCAATTGGTATTTGCCTATTTAATGTCAAAACCTAGTGTTAAAGAGCTGTTAAGGCCTTAAATCATCACCATTGT